TATGTTCACTTTCTTTCTGTATGTTTGTCTTCTGATGGTATGTTCACCTTCTGACTGTATGTTCACCATCTGACCATATGCTCATCTTCTGGTGGTATGTTCACCTTCTGACTGTATGCTCACCTTCTGGTGGTATGTTCACCTTCTGACTGTATGCTCACCTTCTGGTGGTATGTTCACCTTCTGACAATATGTTCATTTCCTTACTGTATGTTTGTTTTCTGTTGGTATGTTCACCTTCTGACTGTATGTTCCCCTTCTGACCGTGGGTTCACATACTGACCATATTTTCACCATCTGATGGTATGTTCACCTTTTGGCTGTATGTTCACCTTAAGACAATATGTTCTCTTTCTCAATGTATTTTTGTCTTCTGATGGTATGTTCGCCTTCTGACTGAATTTTCAACTTCTGACAGTTCACTTTCTGAGAATATGTTCACCTTCTGACAATATGTTCACCTTCTGGCAGTTTGTTCACCCTCTGGCAGTTTGTTCATCTTCTGACAATATCTTCACCCTCTGGCAGTTTGTTCATCTTCTGATGAAATGTGGTTTGCTCTTTTTTCCTATCAAACATCTATTGTCCTGATCTCTCCTCCTCCTTCTGTTTTATGTTTGTTACTCTCTTGTAACGCTTCTAATCTTCAGCACTTATATGACCTTATTGTTTTGCGAGCACCGTAAAACCTGTACTAAAACTAAAATGACAGTTCACTTTCTGACAGTTAGTTCACCTTCTGATGACATGTATGTTCACCCTCTGACAGTATGTTCACCTTCTGACGGTATGTTCACCTTCTGACAATATGTTCACCCTCTGGCAGTTTGTTCACCTTCTGACAACATGTTCACCTTTTATCTGTTCAGATCCACGAGGAGCTGACGAGGAATCTCAACAAGACAATGTCCACCCAGTACCTGGTGGACTCTGAGGTGACGCGCGCGGTGGACGCCATGCAGGCTGATGTGAGTGGCCTCTACACGTGTGTCCTGTGCTACTGATGTGTTGTTATTTGTGTGCTGGTGTGTTGTCTGTGTGGTGTGTTGTCTGTGTGGTGTGTTGTCTGTGTGGTGTGTTGTTTGTGTTGTGTGTTGTCTGTGTGATGTGTTGGTGTGATATGTTCTTGTGTTGTTTGTCTGTGTGCTGTGCTACTGATGTGGTGTTTTGTTTGTCTATGTGCTGTCTGTGTGGTGTGTTGTTTGTCTGTGTGTTGTGTTGGTGTATTGTTTGTCTGTGCGGTGTGTTGTCTGTGTGTTGTGCTGTTATACTGTCTGTGCATGGGTGGTTGGCGGGTTCTCTGGTGTGGTTTGCTTCTTCTTTCCTATGAAACATCTATCGTCCTAACTTCCCCTTCTTCTTTTTTATGTTTGTTACTCTCTTGTAACACCTTTTATCTTCTGGCGCTGATATGACCTTATGCAGTTGCGAGTGCCGTAAAACCTCTACTAAAACTAAAACTAAAGCTTCAATTACCTGGATCCCTCTTCCGTCTTTTTAAAAAAAAAGTATGTTACTCTCTAGTAAAATCCTTTGGGGCGCCTATATGATCTATTTGTGTTGCAAATGCAGTAAAAAAAAAACTCTTATTAAAACTAAACTGTCTGCGTGTTGTACTGTCTGTGTGATGTACTGATGATGTGTCAGTCTGAAACTCCAGAGTGTGATATCTTTTTGCCCCACATGAACGTTTTGTCTTTCCGTGCTTCCAGTTCCAGTGCTGCGGTGCTACCTACTACACGGACTGGGAGTTCTCCCACTGGGCCGTCCATAAACCTGAGGGGGATTTGAACCTGGTGCCCCATTCGTGCTGCATCACGCCCAACACCACCTGTGCCAGCCTCCTGCACCCCTCCAATATACACCAAGAGGTGAGAGACATGGCGCGTGACCGGTGGGCTAGGGCTACTCTATAGGTCATGTGACCAACAGTCGGAGGGTGGCAACTGGTCAGAGTGGGTGGTCATGTGACAAACCAGAGGGTAGTCAAAATAAATAAATAAATAATAAGTACTTTACTTTTATCCGCCGCTTTTACCCTTTTGGGTGTCGCGGAATAAATAAGTAAATAAATAAATAAATAAATAGAAATAAATGAATGAATAAATGAAAAGTAACACTTATGCCATGGGGAAGTTTTTAGTTACAATGGCAAATATACATACGCACAAATACACATACAAAGACTACCAAATATTAAATATTACACCAATGCAGTGCAATTTAACTCTGGTCACCATTGTGCAGCACCCCTTTTTTTTTTCTTTTTTTTTTTTTTTTAGTTAAGGTTATCATGTCATGCTCAAGGACACATTATAGTGACCACACATCAAAGCGAACAGGTCATAGGGCAGTAATAGATAAATAAATAAATTAATTAATTAATTTTAGTTTCCCTCATTGTTCCCCTCATCCAGGGCTGTATCCAGGAGCTTGAGAAGTTCCTCCCCACTCTCTCTCCCTCCCCTCCTCCCTTCCACCCCCCCCCCCCCCCATCCTCTGCCCCCTCTCTTTATCGTGTCAACTCATTCCCTCATTATTGAGCGGGCGGTTGAGTTGGAGGGTGCCACTGGTAGGTCCTCCTACTTCTTCACACTGTCCACCCTCTGTTGTTTCTGTCTGTCTGTCTTACTTTTTTCCTGTCCCCGTCGTTTTATGCCCCAAAAATGTGAAATTATGCAATTCTGTTAATTTTAACAAAGAATGATAAAGGAAAATAATCAGAAATTATGCACAAAAAAAAGGTCGAATTTTGCTAAATTATGCGGGGTGCATAAAACCATGGGAACAGTTTTTCCCTTTCACTAAGTGACCATTATTGTGTCGATGTGCTCTCTTCTTTACCCAAACTAATTAAACAAACCACATTGTTGTTCTCCTCCCCTCCCCCAGGGCTGTATCCAGGAGCTGGAAAAGTTCCTACGTCTTCATCTGATCCTGATCGGGGGCGTGGGCCTGGGGCTGAGCGTGCTGCAGATCTTTGGAGTCATCTTCTCCTGCTGCTTCTCTCAGAAGATCAAGGAAGAGATGGACGTCTAGACGGCGGGGTCAGGGCAGGAGTTGGATGTCGAATTGCGGTGGTGTGGTGGTCAAGGAGGGATGACTGACTAGACGGTGTGATCGAGGAAAAGATGGACGTTGATTATGAAATGTTTTAAAAACTGTGTGGTCAAGTTGAGGACGGATGTGTTAAATGGGATGGTCGAAGAAGAGATGGACGTTCGGACGGTGCGGTCGTCAGGGAGGGGTTTGATTTCTACACGGTGTGATCAAAGATGAGATGAGCGTCTAGACAGTGTGGTTAAGTAGATGGATGTTAGAGAGGTGTGGTCAAGGAAGAGATAGATGTCTCCTCTAGACAAGGTGATTAGGAAGGAGTTGGACGTCTAGATGGTGTGGTCAAGAATGAGATGGATGTCTAGACAAGTGTGATCATGGAAAAGATGGACATCAAGTCCATGAGGTCAGGGAATGAATGGATCATGTCTAGATGGTGTGTTCAAGGAAAAGACAGGCGTCTAGATGATGGTGATGTCAAACAGAAGATGGATATCTGAACGGGATGGTCATGAAGATGGACGTCTTAGAGATGGACACCTAAACTGTGTGGTCGAGGTAAACATGGACGCCTAAACAGTGTGGTCAAGGTAAACATGGACGCCTAAACAGTGTGGTCAAATAAAAAAATGAACGTCTACTCATCTAGATGATGTGGTCTCAGTCCGGAGATGGATGTACAAACGGTGTTGTCACGTAGAAGACGGACATCTGATCAAGGGGAATGAGAGAAGAAGGGACACGTCCCTGATGCTAAATCTGATTATAATTTTATGTTAATGAAGTTTCTTTTTTCCCCACCAATCCACTGAACCTGCAGGTCTTCCGTTCTTCTTTGGCAGCGCGGCATTCTTGTCTTCATCCCTCTAGCTTTTTCTGTTTCTCCATGGTCATTTCAACTTTTCGACTGCCCAGTGTAAGACTCTGTCATATGTCACTTTTCAAAATGATGTACGGCGGGGTCTTATTCTAAACAGTCAATTTTTTGGTCATGAAGTCAAGAATGTTTCTGAGTGTTGTAGGGTCTGCTGGGGTAGTAATGCAGTGAAGTCCACTTGAACTGAACATGGTTTAAATACGAAAACGGCGTAGGAAATATCATGTAGTTGTTGTTTTCAAATCTCTTTAGCTGCGAGCATTTCGCTCTTGGCAGCGCAATGCCTCCCTCAAATTACCACACGTCCTTGTCATCTGGTCAGCGCCAGAGTAGAGCAGGCTTTGTAAGTCTGTAGGAGGAAATATCATAGAATCCGTGGGGGAGGGGGGTTTTCTTCACTGATTGAGCAATCTCTCAAAACTGAAGAAAATCCAGCGATCCCCCAGATTTCAGTTCAAGCGGGCGGCACTGTAGTTGTAAAGAGCATAGAGCATGCTGTAGAGCATGAATATGGGCTGTGTTAATAAATGAAATTATTATTATTTCTATTTCTATTACTGTGTGTGTTTTTGGTTTTGTTATGGATTTTTTTTTTAAAGAATTTTTTTTGGTTAAAAAAATATTTTTTTTTGTTAAAAAAAATATTTTTTTGAGGGGGCAGGATTTGTTGGTGCTCCTAATAATATTTGTCTGAGTCTGTTTTGCTTGCTGAGGGTCAAGGGCAGTGCCTGTCTACCTTTTTATAGCCAGCACCCACTTTTGCCGCCTACTACTACTACTAGAGGCTAACATTTTCATGCCACGTGACCCATCTGCATATATATTTCCATGCAGGGCTTTGAATACCGCCTGTGTCACTACGCGAGTGATCCCCACCACCTCCCACTAAAATTACCTGTCCCCGCAGTTTTATGTTTAAAAAAATTCTGAAATTATGCAAACTGAGCCCAAAAATGTGAAATTATGCGATTCTGTTAATTTTAACAAAGAATGATAAAAGGAAAATAATAAAAAGAAATTATGCAAAAAATGATCAAATTTTGCTAAATTATGCGAGGTGCTTAAAACCGCGGGGACAGATTTACCAAACCATCCACTTGTGGGGGATATTGCCCAGATTGGCAAGCACTGGTCTCTAGGGCTTTCTGAAACTTCAATTCTCCTTTGGGTGTTGTGTGTCATGTGATTCTTTTAAAGCAAGTATGTACTGGATGATCCATCTTGTAATTGTTATTATATGTGTGTATAAATCATACGTGTGTATCTGTGTGGACCAAAGAAAATTATTGCTGACAACTTGTGCGTCATGAGTGAGTGGCTCTGAAAAAGTTAGGGTTAGGTTTAAAGGGGTGCCACAGGGTCTGAAAAGTTCAGTATTTCAACCTTTTTTTCTTTTGTGTAGTCAGTTGGCATAATATAAATAAATTGTGTCCCCTTCGTTTTATGCAAGAAAAATTCTGAAATTATGCAAACTGAGCCCAAAAATGTGAAATTATGCGATTCTGTTAATTTTAACAAAGAATGATAAAGGAAAATAATCAGAAATTATGCAAAAAAATGATCAAATTTTGTTAAATTATGTAGGGTGCATAAAACCACGGGGACAGCTATTTGGCTCGATCTTTTCATAGATTGACAGTTAAATTTGGAGGAATCCCGCCCACCTCCTAGATGATTTAGATTGTGTGGATGGGGGCGTAGGAACCCCTACTTTTTTAAATAAAAAAGTTTTTCCCTGTTGTCTTCTTTGACATCACTGTGAAAAATTATTGTGTGTGTGTGGATGATCAGTTTGTTGAGTGCTACGATTGTCTGGTGGCTTTTATGTAAATATCCTCTATTGTTGGAAAGATACATGGCTCCAAAGAGACTTCACCGGCGCCTGACTTATGCAGTTGCGAGCGCCGTAAAACCTCTACTGAAACAAACAAACCGGCGCCTGTGCTGTAGTGGTTAGACCCTTTGCATTTATTTGCAAGCTGGAGACCCTGAGCTTCAGTCAGGCCACTGTGGGGCAAATTTTTTATTGAATATCTTGGTGTTGGCCTATCTGCTGGGCGGCGGGATGTTGTATCCCTCTCCTCACTCTCAGGTTGGCCCTGACTGACAGACAGGGTCAAAGCCTGCCTCCTCCTCCTAAATGATCTAAATTGGGTCGATGGGGGCGTAATTGGTCGTTTTTAAGCACAAGGGAGCTATTCCGCAAAATGCTGTTTTGACAAAATCGAAGGTAAAGTTTTTGGACCCTTGTTCATTTCTTTAAAATGCAAGGAGAGTTTTCTCTATAACCAAACAAGTATACACACCAATGTAACCAAACTTCTCCTATAGGTAGGTCAATGCTCACTTTTGGTGTAGGTCAAGATTCTGGAAACCCCCGAAATCTGGGTTAGCCCGCTTGTCCTTAAAAGCGACCAATTGTCAATATGTCGTGTACAAGTACAAGTGGTCACTCACCCTCTTCTACCTAGTCAGCTTGACATTTCGTGCTGTAGAGTTCCTTCTCCTTGTGTGTCTGTGTTGTTGCTCTTGTTGTTGAAGTGGTTGTCCTGATTATCTGATAGTGGTGGTGGTGTTGTTGTTGCTGCTGCTATTGTCAGTGTGCGCTTTGGCATGACAAAGTTGGACAGTTTTTTTGTTTTTTTACCTGGTACAGTGCTGGTAGACTGCTTTAATTTTTAAATGTTTTAAAATGAGATGTTATTGGTGAAGTTTTAATACCGCACATGACACAAATTTTGATGTACAGTTGTAACATGACACTTCGCTCAACTCGCGTTGTTCTTCTTTTTTGTCATTCTAATCAGCAGACATTTACACCGGGTAATGTATAAGTATTTTAAATTGAAAGTGTCAAAAGTTTCAGTCCCAATTTTACAAATGGATATCATCATTTTGACTCTAGGGATAGGTTGGGGTCGGACAAAGTTGCTCTTTCTTTCCTGTCAAACATCTGACATTATTATCGAATATCACTCCTCCGTCTTTTCTTTGTCATGTTACTCTACTTTCTAGTAACACCTCTAATCTTTGGTACTTATATGACCTAATTATGTTGCGAGTGCCGTAGAACTGTCTTTAAAATTTTAAAATCAAATTGTGAAATGGTCATAATTTTTTAACTGCAGGAAAAGGTGGAGGTCAGAAAAAAATTGGACAAATTTTGTTTTCTGTTTTTACTGAATCAATACAACCTGCCTGTCTGTGACATTACCAGTATGGTGCTGGGTACTTTATTGAAGAAAATGCTAAAGAAAAAAGAATTATTTATTTAAAGTCTGATTTTGTGTTTATTTTTTGTTTGATTTTGTTGTTTTTTTTAAAAGTGAAGGCGACCAAATCGCCATTGATGGGACATATTAAAATTTCTGTTTTGACTGCTCAGTGCAAGACTCTGTCATATATATACTACATCACTTTTCAAAATGGTGTTGTTATGTTAAGTCCTGTACTAAGCAGTGGATATATAACTGGGCCTCATAAATCTGGGGCCTGATTTTAAGCCATGACCAGGCTGAATGTGGTTGATGTGGCTTCTCACAATCGCCTGGTTGTGAATTTTATGTTAAGGTTATTACATAAGAATTTTTTTTTCCCCTGCGATTATGCCAGTACATTATTGTTGAAGAGAATTGCGGTTAGAGGAGGAGGTCTAGATATGCAGTGACTTTTATGAGTTTGTACCTATCTATAGAGAACAGCTTTTTCTTTTATCTTTTACACGTAGTCTAGATCTGATTTCGTCTTCATGGTTCGTTTTTTCCTTTTTTTTTTTTTCCCTCAGTATTTTGTTTGATTTCTGTTTTGGTTTTGCGAAGAAGTGTTGTGTTCCTTCCTATTGATATTTCTATTGCAAATAATTCTGATCAAAATTTTATTTTGAACTTATTTGTGCATTCCACTGACAGTGACTTTTAAAAATTAAGTTTCCTACTGCTATTTATTTCTGTGGGGGTTGTGGAGAACATTGCTTGTGCTCTGAGACTTTAACTGTTGACCATTTTAATGGATATTTGCTTAGAGGCCATTGGTAGGCTTGCCAACTGTCCCAAATTTCTCGGGTTTTGGTAATCAGGAATTTCACAAAAATTACACCGAAACCAGTAAAACTTAATGACATAAGTTTGTTTGTTGTTATATGATCTGATGTTATTATAAAGTTGGGTGTCCCTGATTGGGTCTTGAAAAAATTGGCAAACGTCCATGGGTCTCTCTCTTCCACAAGCCTACCTTGGTCTCTTTCGCTAAAGAAAAAACAAACCTATTTTTTCCTCTACTCTATTCTTTTTTTTTTCTTTTTTTTTGGACTCTGCCCAGGCGAGCTTGTCGCTTGCCCCGTCACGGGATATATCTCTCTATGATCGCTTTTGGGGACCCCCCCCCCCCCCCCCCCCCCTCCCTCGATATCGTCGGCAAGTTGTTCAACTGTTCTAAGCCCAGAAAGAAACAAATGTTTCGGGAGAGATTTTTTTAAAACATCATTGGTAGGTGCAGGGTGATTCGTTGTGTATCTTGTCCTGCTTTTTTTTGTTTTTCCCAACACTTAGAATTTGAGTTTTGGAAGAGATAAAAATTGTTTCATCTTATTAACTAGATCGATCTATTGTTCCTGTTCATCATTATGTATCTTTTTCTGCTTTTTTCAACACTAAGAATTTCAGTTGTGACAAAATAATTTTCAAGCTCATTCAACCAGTACTACTGCAAAAATCGGAATTCAAAGTTTTCGGCTTAGTACATGTGAACAGCGGGCCGACGACATTATTGTATTTCCCTTGTTCTGCTCTGTCCAGGACGTGAACTACCCAGTACTTTTATGTTCTTTAAAGTATTGGCTTCTTCAGTTGACTTATATTTATATGTGCTTTTATTTTTATTATAATTTTAAAAAATGTATTTTTTTTTTACCATGCCCAACTCATGTTTTTTTTAAATAATTTTTTTTCTGTCCATTACCCAACATGTGCTTTTATTGATTGAAGGTGCCAGGACAGAACAACTAACTGTGCTGTGTAAGATTCCGTCTTACGTCATATACATGTCACTTCTCAAAATGATGTACGGTGGAGTCTTACAGAGAGCAGTCCAGATGTGTGCCTGTATTATTTTGATCCTCTGCATGATAAGACAAAACTTCTTCTCTTCTCGGATATTTGCAGTCTATAGCATATTATATACGATGGCGTCCACTTAAATCGAACACGATAAATTCACAAAATAGCGGTAACCCGGAAAAAAAGTAGAATCCCTGATTTATTTTTTGTCTCCGTTATTTAATAAGCAATCTTTTTTCTAAACCAAAAACGCGGCTAAACCAAAGAAAATCTGGTGGTTCTGCATATTTCGGTTTAAGAGGACTCCATTGTATATCAGAGAAGAAGGTGAAACTAACCTAGGATGAATTAAATGGTCGCTTTTAAGTACAAGGGGGCTATTTAAAAAAATACTGTTTTGAGAAAATTGAAGTTAAAGTTTTTGGACCCTTGTTCAGTTTCTTTAAAAGACAAGGAGAGTCTTCTCTATAAGCAAACAACTATGCACACCAATGAAAC